GATTGGGGTCGGGGGGTTGGGGGGGGCTGGGAGTGGGGCGGCAGGAGCGCCGTCGGGAAGGGTTCGGGAATGGGGAGCGTGGGTGAGTGGAGGAGGGACGGGGGACTGGAGCAGCAGCATCACCCCAGCCCCCCCTGGGGGTTGTGGGGGCTCTGTGGGTGCTGGGGCCGAGGGTCCAAGCCTCTGGTGGGCCAGGGGCAGAACCCACCCCCAAATAGGGCTGGAGGGGAGGGCTGGACCCACAGGGCAGCAGGTGTGCAGTCACAGCAGAGGGGCTGTGTGTCACCAGGGCAGGGTCACCATCACCTTGCTGGGGTCCCCCATATAGCCTAGCACCTGGGGTGGGCTGTAGGGCTGGAGCGGTGGGTGCTGCACATCCTCCATCACCATCTGGGTAGGCAGCGGGGCCAGGTCAGTGGCCACTGGGGGTTGAAGGCTGGAGAGAGGAGATGTCTTCCCTAGGCAGATCCCTCTAAGGATGTGCTGGGACCCTGTGGCTGTGGAGAGGATTCAGGGGGGAGGCCAGACAGGGCTTGCTCCATGCCAGGGACTCACAGCAACCCCTGGGTGCTGCAGGGCTGGACCATGAGCTGGCTTTCTCCAAGATCATCGTGGAGCTACGGAAGAAGCACCCCGGCCACATCCTGCCAGACGAGGACCTGCAGTGGGTGTTTGTGAACGCGGGCGGGTGGATGGGCTCTATGTGCCTCCTGCACGCCTCGCTCACCGAGTACGTGCTGCTCTTCGGGACGGCCGTCGACACTGGGGGACACTCAGGTAAGCGGGGGGACAGGGCTGGCGGGCAGGGGGTTCTCTGAGCTCTTTCCACTCCACTTAATCACGTCCAGCTGGCCTGGTCATGGGACGCCCAGAGCAGGAAGAAGCTCCACTTCTGAAGCTCCACTTCTGGATGGGGTGCATAATGCTGGGTAACAGCCCTCGGGTGGGGGACCAGCCCCCATGGTGTCCTGCAGCCCCTGCAGGTCCCTGTGCATGCCACGTCGTGTGGCCAGGACTCTCCGCATCCAGCTGGCAGGCGGTGACGGGCATCACGTCTGCTGGTGCTTCAGCATGGAGTGAATGCCAAGCACGCTGGAAGCAATGGGGCTTAAGGACACTAAGCAGCCCAGACTGGTGGGATATGGCCAGTCACACAGGCAACGTGGGTACCAGCTCCAGCTGCCTTCCCCAGTGTGTCATGGCCCCAGAGCTGGCATCTTTCCCTCTGGAGGGCTGTTCCGTGGCTCAGACTTTGCTCCCAAGCTGTTCCCAGCAGGGATGAGCTGAGCCAATGCTGTCTGTCCTCCTACAGGTCGGTACTGGGCAGATATCTCCGACACCGTCATCTCGGGGACCTTCCGGCAGTGGAAGGAGGGAACCACCAGAAGTGAGATCTACTATCCAGGTGAGTGCACCAGCCATGGCACCCTGTGGGTTTCATCCATGTCCCAGGGCACAGCTGCTCTGTGGAGTGGTCCTCTGCTGTCACAGAGCCTCCTCCTTCCAGCTGGCAGAAGCTAAGAGCTTGCAGTGGGGCAGCTTGTGTCCCCAAAGACACGTCCCAGCATCTCGGTGGGTGCCAGTGAGAGAAAAGACAGCAAGACCGAGGAGGGGTTGGGATGCACAGACCAGTGTGCTTCAGCCTCGCGGGTCCTAGTCCCGCACATCGCTTTGGGAACGGTGTGGGGCAGCCACTGGGAGCCGTGCTGGTTGTGTGTGTTGGCAGGGGACACCATCGTGCACCAGGCGGGAGAGGCCACGTCGGTGCAGTGGAGCGCGGGCACCTGGATGGTGGAGTACGGCCGGGGCTTCATCCCTTCTACGCTCGCCTTCGCCCTGGCTGACACCCTCTTCAGCACTCAGGACTTCGTCACCCTCTTCTACACCCTGCGCGTCTACGCCAAGGGCCTGCTCCTGGAAGCCAATGCCTTCTTCAGCACCTGGGGCTGCTGAGCCCGGCTTGCTGGGGCACCCTGCCGGGCACAGCTGGCTCCTCTCCTCCAGTCTTCCTCCCTTTTCCTCCTCTTCCTCCTCCCCGAGCCCAGGCTCTGGCAGAGGCAGCAGGAGACCCCCTGTGCCTCCCTTAAATTGCTCTGTCCTTCCCCGTGGGCCAGCTGGGTGCCAGGACAGAGGGACCATGGTGGTCACGGCAATACAGACCACCAGTTTTCTTTTACTACCTGCCTCTCCCCACTTTTGATTGGAGCCATGTCCTGCTTTTCCATCCATCGGAGCTGGAGTGGCCTTACGGGGGGGGTACAAACACCCCTGAGTGCCCTCAGCACGCAGCAGGAGAGGGGCTGGAGCTGGCTGTCCCCAGACTCTGCAAAATCCCTACGGCTCCTGAGACATCAGGAGGAGGATGCCACCCTGGGGGTAAGGTGCCCGGGGCAGGGGGGAGCCGGGCCAGAGCACCCCTTATAAAGGTCAGCCAAGAAGTTCCCCATCTCCCTGGCAGTCTGCCGAGGCTGCGGACAGCACAGGGCGCTGTGTCCAGCTGGCAGCATCTCCCGTGGCTCCATCCCTGCTGACGTGGGTTGGCAGCACACAGTGTCACCCTGGCACGGGGCAGGATCTGCGCCGGGCTCTCTCCCCTCCCCGGGCAGTGAGGGGATACCCAGCCCCTGTGCGGGAGGTTCTTTTTGGACCCCTGTGTGTCATCTCCTCCAGGAGACATCCAGGGCTGGAAGAGAGTCCCTTTCCCCACAGTCCCCCCTCCTCCCTGCAGTCCCCCCCATGGGGGAGAGCCACCGTCTGTCGCCTTAACCGAGAGCCCGTTCTGCGTGGCCTCTGGGCTATGCACGTACCTAGTGTCTGCGGGTGCCCGAACCTCCATACCAGCTCAGGATGGGATCTCGCCCCCTCGAAACGCTTCCCCTTGAGCTGTGAGACCTCCTGGGGACAGCCACCCCGCTCGGCTGCCGGCATGGGATCCCGGTAGCCAAGGGAGTGCTGTGGTCCCCCGACCAAGCCCGGCTGCGGACCCTGCTAGCCCTGCGGCCAGACTCCTGGTGCTGGCTCGCTGCTTGGTGGAGGGCTGTCACCTCCACGCTGCTGCCAAACAACCGTGTGTGTGTGTCCCTGGGCCACCAGGCCTGTCGCATGTTGCTCCTCCTGCTCCCCGGACTGTCCCCCGTCCTGCTGACTGGCAGCCCTGGGGCTGCTTCTTAATTTGCCACCTGAAAAGAGATACCAGTAATAAAATTGTTATCCCATCTGCTTGGGTCCCCAGGAGAGTCTCTAGAGCGTGCTGAGCCCCTGCCGTGGGGAGTGGTGCTGGATCCCTCCAGCTCCGGGCTTGCCAGGGGTCCTGGGTGTCCTTGGGAAGCTGGGGTGGTGGGAGCTATGGGATGGAGTGGTGGACAGGATCAGCCCTGTCTTGGCTCTCGGGGACCGGCAGGAGATGGTGCTGTTACTCCTCTCTCCACTGCGGTCACTGGGGACCAAAAGCCCAGGCCGGTGGCAGGGACCTGCTTCCATGGGGGACCAAAGAGTCCGGGGGGCTCCATCCTTTTGAGGAACGGTGACGATGTTGAGTGTGGGGCAGCCTTGGGGTTGGATGGACCTGGGCGTAGCAGGTTGGTGGTCCTGAGGAGTTTACACACATGCACCCCTCCCCTCAGTGTGCAAAGGACACAGTGAATGGCAGGGGGTGCGTGTGTGCTCATGCTGGTAGGCACTTTGCACGTACGTGTGTGTGGGGGGGTGCAAGCAGGATGGTTTTGTGTGCGTGTGTGTCTCGTTAGGGCATGCGTATATGTAGAACAGTTTGCAGGGGGGTGTAGGCAGCGGAAGTGGGGGTTGCACATGTGTGCACACATGTATGTTTAGGTAGAACAATTAGGCAATCTGACCATAGTGCAAATTGCATACATATGAGTGCTTGGGCACATATGGGTAGGACATGTCTATGTGCATGTGTGTGTGCCTGTGCGGATGAGACGGGTGTGTGCACAGGTGTGTGTGTGCACAATCCCAAGTGCACACGTGTGTACAGCCCGGCAGGGCAACCAGGTATACTCATGTGCACGCCTGTGTGCTCATGGGCCGACGGTGTGCGTGCACACCTGCGTGTGGGCAGGCTGTGTATGTGTGCGTGTACGTTCCCACGTGCTGTGAGGCCACCCCAGGCCCCACGCCGTGCCCGTTCCCGGGGGGTTTGGGGGGGCCCCGTGGAGGCACGGGAGCAGCCCCACGCCAGCCCGCACGGGAAGGCGCTAACTCAGCAGCTCGTATCAATACCGCTCCACTTACAGCGAAGGCCGCGTAATGAAAATCCGATGGGCACGCTGGTGGGAGTAAATAAGTATGCCATTAAAATGAGAAAATCAAAGCTCTGGACAGGTCTTTTCTCTTGCCCATTGATTTCTTTTATTACGGAAATATTGCTGCTAAATAACATTAGTGTGAACAATCTCAGCAGTGTTTTCCGTAGCGCCCGTGTCAATAACTCCATCACGGGCGGGGGATCCCCCCCAAGCCTGGCTGCGGGGTCCGGGTGAAGGGCTGCTCTGGAGGTACCTTCCTCACCCTTCCCAGCTAAGCTGGGATGTGGCCACCTGAGAAACCAGGCAGCACGGGATGGCTCAGGGAAGTGCCAACGGGATGGACCTGGGCTGGGACCCAGGAGTCCTGATTGCTTTGCTGAGGCTGGAGGGGTTGTCCCCAACCCAGCACTGAGCATTCAAGGGTCCCAAAAAGCAGGCCTTTGCTTTGGGCTGGGTGTTTGGAGCCTGTTGTGGAGCTCCATCAGTGACCAGCAGATGAGAAACGCGTTCTGGACACAGCATGTCCCACCGGCTCTTGGTGCCTTTGCCCCTTCCTCCCCACTCTTCCTCATCCGTGCCTGAGTCTGTGCTGGACTGACCCAGTTCCCTGCATCTTGGCATCACTTGGTTCACATGGAGAAACTGAGGCACGGGTTGGGACCTCGTCTGCAGTCACCTGGCTCCAACACAGCCCCCACCACCGATACCAGGGCTTGCACTCAAGCTGCCCCTCTCCCCACCAGCTGCCCACACAGAGGTTACCCAGCACACTCCGAGATGCTCACAGGGACATCCCTGTGGGGCTGGAGAATGTGGTGAGGACACGCTGGAAATAAGCACCCTTTGGCACCCAGAGGCCAGGTGGGACCCCAAGACATCTCAAAGGACAACAAGCGCCTGTAGGATGGCTGGAGAGGAGCAAGGAGACAGCCACGGGCACCTGCACTGTGGGTGCAGCTCTGTCCCAGCCCCAGATGAAGCCACCACGAGCGGCAGCTCCCTGAAGCCGCCGCCAGGACAAATGCACATCGCTGCCCACCCAACACCTTCCCCCTGCAGCTCGCTCTATCTTGCTGTCCCTCTGCATGCAGTGGGTATTGATCAGCTGGCAGGATCTATCTCCCGATTCCTCCTGCGGTATCTCTCTGCTCCCAGTATCTCTCAATCTGCTCCGCTGTCTGCCGTGCCCGTCTATACCTCCAGTATCTATCTGTGCCGCCTCCACCGCGGCCGTCGATAGCTGTTTGTCTGGGGGATTTCTCTTTCTCTCCAGTTGGGAGTGTCACCAGCCCCTCGGTGGTGCAGGTGCCGAGCGGGAGGGTGGAGGGGACACAGTCCAGCTTGCTGCCCCAAGGAGAACCTTGAGCACAGACACGGTTTGTGACACATTTGCACAGACCCAGAGCCACTGTTACCACTGTAGAAGCTCCAGAGAGGAACTGGGCCATGCTGGTCCAGCTAGGGCAGGTCCCGTGGTGGCTATGCCCAGGGCCATGGGACATGCTGCATCCCATGCAGGCTATGATGCTTCTACTAGCCAGCCTGGCCACATGCCCCACATCGACCCTGGAGGAGGGAAGCTTCCCCAAACGCCTGGGTTCCTAGTGGGCCATGGAAAAGTCCTGTCACCATCACCACATCTTGCTCATCCCACCCGTTCAGCCTTCAGCCCTGGCTCCCTCCTTGCCCCATCGTGCGGGAGATGGGGCACAGCCCCACACAGAGGGTGCCAGCACCCTAAGATGCAGCACAACAGCAGCAGGAGGGGAGCCTGGAGCCATCTGTGATGGAGACCTGTAGAATAAGGTGGGGTGGCTTGACCTGTAGAATAAGGTGGTGGCCACCGGGGGGGTGGCTTGACCTGTGGTCCCTCTGAAATGGGACTGTGTCCTACCTTCCAAGGGGCAATGTCCTGCCTTCCCAGGGGCAATGCAGCAGGATCATCAGCCAGCCATCAACAAACTGATACTTGGGGAAGGCGGGG